GCCGCTGAGCTGCCAACAGGTGGCAGGATGGCTCAGCTAAAAAAAAAAGATACAGAAGCAATTAATACAACTAAATTTGAGATTAGTGATTAAGAATTTAAAGTAGGCTTCAGTCAGTATTTTTCTGTGAAAAGTCCATTTACCTCAACGAGACTTTGATAAATCTGAACAAGGAAAAGTCAAGAAAGAAAGATGGCAACATTATAGAATAATGAATAAGAAAGGAGATGTAATTATAGATATGGAAGGGATTTTTAAAATTTAAGGTAATACAATGTATTTAAACCTATTTGGGCCAATAAACAAAGGAAAAGTTTGAAAAATTTGGTCCAGGATCTCCCTTATAGAAATAACACTTGGAAGTTGTTAGTCCCTTAGGTAAAAATGTCAAGATGAAAATAATTACTGTTTTACTAGCTCATCTTACCTGGGTAACATAAATCTAGTAACAAAACTGAATGGAAATCTCTTCTAAAAAGCAAAAGCTAGAGGAATTAATGTAAACATTCTAATGAAAACATCAGCAAACCATCCAAATATAAGTTGTAAGAGTTGTGCAATAGAAACAATCTGTATGGAATACTCAGACCCAAATTCTGGTTTAAATATAAGTAGAAACTAACAAACAATAAAATTGAGTCAGCACAATTTTTTCATTCTCATAGTTTATCTTAGATTTATTTGGTGGTTAGAGTAGGAAACCACACATACATGAAATGATTTAATCTAAAAAGAAAGACTTAATATTTGGACATCAGAATGCATCTTAAAATTGATGGCCTCTCGTGATCACTTTCAACCAGGTGGCCATCATGACTTAGTGCTAGCATCAAAGCATATTAGTTGTAATGAAATAAAGAGTGTTTATATACTCACAGTTAGAATTCAACCCTCTCAAAATTATTCATCTCCACAAATGTCAGCTCCATCAAAACTTCTGCATTGACAAAGTCTGGTTCGTCTTGGTCGTTGTTTTAACCTGCACGTCACCCTATGTCCATTTTGTGCAGATAGGCCATCCATGATATCACTGTTCAGTTACTCACCATCTAGTGATTGACAGCATTGTTCCACACAATTGTAATTTTAATAATGAAATGTAACAAAGCAGAATACTTTGAGGGTTTTAGTAGAATAAAGCACTGCTAGTCAGTCTTTCACTTCTAGGTACCATATTCTTTTTTTTTTTTTTTTTAGCTGAGCCATCCTGCTACCTGTTGGCAGCTCAGCGGCTGCTCAGCTCGGGCTGGACTCAAACTGCTGTTGCTCANCCTGTTGGCAGCTCAGCGGCTGCTCAGCTCGGGCTGGACTCAAACTGCTGTTGCTCAGAGCTCAAACTCTTGAGCGAGCTCTTAACCAACTGAGCCACTCCATAATCTTTTTTAAGACATGTCCTCCAAGTTTTTATAAGATGAGCCCCTGAAGCAGATTGGGAACTCTTTTAATAACATCCCAAGCAGGAATGCAGGAAGAAGACATAAGCGCTGTGCCCACGTTTGCACCCAGGAACACTGCTTGCTTTCAGTTTGATAAGCTGTACCATAGAAATAGAACAGTGAGGCACAAACAGGTCCTGTCTGCTATGTGAATGGCCTCCCCAAAATTCACTGTAAGTAAAAGGGTACTTAGAGTACGCTCCTCTGACTCTGGGGAAAAAAGAACTTACAAGGTTGGACCAATAATATTCCTCCACTCCTACAGCTCCAAGAAAAAAATTCAGGTAATAAAAAAACTCAGGAAATGTTCTCATTAATAATATAGGCTTTAATACTTCAGGACTTTTGCTGTGTCTTTTTGAAGTAAATATTAACCTCTGAACAGTCTGTAATTATGTTTTGTGGTTTTAATATATACATTTGAGTTGTCATCTGTTTTATGGATTGTACACATATTTGCAAAGTTTTGTTAAAGGATAACTGGTTCTTTGTCCATACACAAAAACATTAATGAAATTTATGAATCTGCCAGAATTCTTATTTAAATAAAACCTATGAGAGTCTGTAACTAATTTAAAGGAATATCAGTGATTATTTCAG